ATGAAGAGTATGACCCTCCCGCCTGTTCTACCGTAGGTTCTGTTCTGCCTATAAACTAAAAACCTCTCTGAAGACGTTCGATTCACCTCTTCATTAGTTATGAGCCACGTTTAGGTGACCGCTACAATCTCAACACTTTCTGTCCGCGCTCTCAGTTCTGGCTATTTTTTCCCAATGCTTAGTGCATTCATGTACTTTAGCGTTAGTCTGTTCTCACTCCGGTCAGTCTCAACTTTTTTCATAGAGGGTATCTTCTGCCCGGACTCACACCCAAGCCCTCCGACCGTTTTTTGTATAACGGTCACGTTGGTTTCATTTCTAGTTTTCCCCTCGGGAAATTTACCCAGAGGGGTTTCTATGATCGGAGTTCTAGTCGCTGTCAGCCCCTTTTCAGTTCTATGTAATTTCAGCCTTGGTAAGCGGAGGAGGGCTTTGTTGAATTCTGGCGATTTATATAGGCTCGCTCTCTTGGCATTTCCTACAATTGCCTGGTCATCTGCCTTAACTCGAATTGCTCCCCACTGGCTAGCTTAATCCTCTCAAAGGCCGCTAAAAAGTGGCCTCTGTGTTTAGGATTAGCGAACGCGCCCAGCGTGGGTTTGGGCTGCCGCTGTACCTGATCCGGTGTCTGCTTCCATTTTCCTGATTGTAACACCCTCTTTGAAAGAAATACGTTTTGAAATTTAAACGAATCACAGGAGGTTCACCACGTGATACCTCGCTGCCCTCCGTCTCTTTGTCTTCCTTCTTTAATGAAAGGTTTCGGGATGCCATGTATGACCGTATTCTGATTTTTACCGAGTGCAATATCATTGGATTTGCTCAGATTCATAGGAGCTGTGATTAATCGCTCAGTAGGTTATTCTAGGGCCAACACTCGTTCTCTCAGGTCCGGATCGGGAACTACTTTTGGTTTCCCACTTTTTGGCTCTTGTTTACTTCTACAACTGCAAATAGTTTTCTACCTCTTCAAAGTTTCGTCTCCCCTTTATTCGCTATTGAAGTTTCTGGAAACTGTGCTTTTATTTCTTCTTTGATGAATTTAGAGATAACCCCTTGCACTAGGATTTCATCTTAACTCGAGAAGAGCTGTTGGCTCTACTGCTCTCTCTAGGCTCCTTTGTTTGTAGCGCTTTGTTCCTAGTATCATACTTATAGATATCTTTCTTCCAGCTTGCAACTATTCATTGTTTGTACCCAGTGCAAACCCAACTCAGTCCTTCATGTTCTCGGTATAGCTGGTACACCCTCTCCGACAGGTTTCCATATGCGATGTTGAACCATGCATCGCACGTGTCGCACTGTATACCTTCAATAAGGTTGCTTTTTGAGCAGTGTAAATTTCCACATACCTCTTCCTGATTTATGCTGCACCTTGGTCCTATCTTACACGAATTCCTTACAGATTCTCTTTTTCCACTTATTGTTAGGACTGACAATTAATACCGTGGGTGAACTATGCAGACATTATCCTGAATTTGCTAACTCCAAATACGCAAATACTAATAGTGGTAAAAATATAGTTAATAAAAAAGCTAAATGTGCTACTACACTAATATGGACTAATTAAAAACTTAACCAAAGCAAAACGTATCTACCACGACAGAAGTTCAGTTCAGTGTACTTTAGTTCAGTTCAGTTCAGGTGTAGAGGAAAACATTATTTGCATTAAACCGAGCATACTTAACTGAGAGGTTCTCACGAAGCTGCTTTTCCTTTGCGTTGCAGCCTATTCGATCATAACCCATGCCCGGGACCACTGGCTTTGTCCTCGAACTAGTGAAATGCTTCAAGAGTGCCACAACAGCGAAGGACTTCCAACCAACGACGAGGAATCCGAAGACAATTGAAGGCTCACTTAATGTCGAGTCCCCCTCATGTACTTAACTTCACAGTGCTGTTGCGTACAACACAATTTCCCGATTCATTACAAGTCGTCTCCGGTGACTGCCTGTTACAACATTGGTGACCCTGCCAGGATTTAAGCACTAGAAAAGAAGTTGTTGGAACAAATTATCGAGGGAACCAGATTGAATTGAGTTTGACGGCCCCTGCGACTGCACCCGCCATCTGATTTGAATTTAGCGGCTAAAAGGCATTGGAGATTTGGAAAAGTAAAAGGTGGCCACATCAGCACCTCGAAAGAGCATGGCAGTGGGGTATCATGGTGAGAAAGAAGTTAGAAATGGTGGATAGCACAGAGTTCAAGGAATGAGAAGGTCTTTAAGACAAACTTAGCGGTTCCTGCATAGATCATCCATCCGTCTGCATAACAGGTAAACAAGTCGAGCCCTTGAAAATCCGCCTAGTTCAGTCAAAAATAGACCTTAAACATCCATACCTTTTACTGCCAATTTAATGGCAAGTGTAGAAACCACAGCGTGAAGAAAATCTCTCTTTTTAGCCTTAAGTGATACCACCTTTGTTCCCCTGCCAGTTAGTACTTTTCCTGTCCTATGTGCACACGTCATCTCGCGGCACTCCTGATGTGACCTTGATTACTGCGTGACTCTCGTGTTAGCCATTGTCAATGATTGATTGAGACCCATTCTCCTGTCCATTGTCTTTGTGTGTCTACCTATCGATCCCACCCGTGTCGTGCCATTGGACCAATAATTGCTCTTTGCTCTTATGTGGCTTTGTTGTGTCACTCCCCAGTCCCTAAATGCCCCGTCACTAGCCCGATAATCTCATGCATAGCTGACTTCGACCACTGACTGTCCACGTTTGGTGAACAGAATCCCTCGCTTGATCTTACAGGTATTTATGTTCTCTCTTTGTATATTGATTTGCTTGCCTTTATATCAGGTCGCTACCAATCTGTTGGAACCCACCTTTTGGCTGTATAGCGACTGATTCGCATTGTTGAGGTACGTTGTTCTTCGACTCGCTTAATGAAATAAACAGTACCGTACGAATCGCTGATCAATATCGTTCTGACTTCGGGGTTCGCATTTCGCTCCGCGTTGCTTAACGGTCTCTTCGACGCTATACTAAACGGTCGTACAATAGTCGATTGCGCTCGGGCTACGGTCAAACCAGAACAAATCGTTTTGGAATTTACAGTTAGGACGCACTAATGATCGAGCTAACCATTTGTAATTTTATGTGCTTAGCGTTTATAGGCAAGATGATTCACGGTCACTCATTAAAAAATCGGTTCTGCGCGAGATGGAGGGGTGTGCCAAGAGTTCATGTTTCTAGCGCCTCACTGCAGCTAACAGCGCGCCGATATCCGTCTGGGGGGGGGTACGGGTCAGGCACGGAATCATCAAATGATAATTGCTGAAGGTATCCCATACGATGAAATCTTTGGAATGGACGTTTTAAACAAATATGGATGCATCCTTTACCTGAATAATTAGCAGTTGGTGAGCCCGACCCTCTCGGTTCTATGGGTGTGCGCTGTATCTAAACACCGCTGTGTCACCAGTGGAGAACTATATCAACAATTAAGCTAGGGGAATGAAGAATAACTATAATGGCGTAACCATAGGGCAGCTAGTCAATATTATTCGAGAAAAAGCCGATGTGTTTAACTAGATCTGACCTCCGGCGCACGGGGTACCGAAGAACTTAATTGACAGAAGTGATGCAGTGCCGATTACAACTCCACCCATTTGGATACTGGTGCAACCGCAGAAAGAG